TTTTTTTTTTGGGGCTGGGCTGGGCTAACCCCAGCCCAGCATATATATTGGTGGTTGGGCTCAGCTCAGCTCCATAAGGGCTGGGCTAGGCCCAGCCGGCCCCGCCCGGACACCGGCCTAAGCCAGTGACCGGCTGGGCAAACAATTGATGCACGCGTGCAGCGCCTTCACGCGTGCATCCACAGTGCGAAGGGAATTAAGTTACCTTCGCACTGTTGATGCACGCGTGAAGCGCCTTCACGCGTGCATCAACAGTGCGAAGGTAATTAAGTTACCTTCGCACTGTTCAAGTGCAATCTTAATACAGGAGCCCAAAACAGAGAGCAACGGGTGTGGGTATACCTGTTTCTGGAGATTCCGAAGATCCTGCCGCTGGAGACTGGAGATCCTGCTTCTGAAGGTGTGTGCAGTGTTTGATGATGGTTCCTGTCTACTGCTCCTTCTGGTTTTCTGTCTATGAACTCTTGTCAGTGCTTTCCCTCTTGATTTCTTAGTAGATTATGGCTTGCTGTGAGTGTTCCTTGGCTGAATTCGTTTTTTTTTTGTTTGCAGGTTTGAAGACGATTTCGAGGATAATTCTCCTCACCGTGTGCTCTCCTCTTGTTCTTTTTTTTTTCTATGTATTTGAATATTTCTACTCTGTGGGTTTCTCTGTTTTCCTCTCTGTTCTTGGGTGATTTTCTCCGTTCTTGTTCTGCCAATTTTTTTGTTAATTGCTGTGTTTTTCGGCTCTTCTCTCCCCTTCTATGTTAGGTTTCTTTTTCCATTTATAGAGACCCCCAACTCACTCCTCAGTCATCCTGCCTTTGCAGGACTGTATTTTCAAACAAGCGAGATCGTGGGCAAAGATTATGATCCACAACTGAATCTGTTGCAAATTTTCAGGTTTTCAGTTGAATAGGAATGAAGAACATCACACGACTCTCCAACCAGCAACGACGACGTTCAGCAAAGGGCACAATTTCACTTTTACCCTTGAACTTTGGCAATTCAACAATTGGACCCCTAATCAATTAAAATTTCTTTAAAATTTTTTTAGTTAATTTCAATTAGATCCCTAAATTGATATGTTATTTACACAACAGTCCTGAATTTCTAAACTATTCAATTTAGTCCTTGAACTTTAATTTTCCAATAATTTTCTCTAAATAACCTCCAAGGTATTTCTTCAATTAAACCCCTGATTCTATTAATTAATTAAGTCAAAGTTTAATTAAGTCCTCAAACTCATTAATTCCTCAATTTCTTTTAATTTCATTAATTAACTTAATCCCAAGCTCAATTAAATCTCAAAATTTATGAATTCTCCAATTAAACCCTTGATTTAATTAATTAAACTAGTCAAGAGTTTAATTAAATATTTAAACTTTCCAATCATGTTTTCATTAACTCAAATTTTAGTTCATTCTTCATTTACTCTTTTTTTTTATCAAAATATTTTAGTAAATAAAAAAAAATCAAAAATTTGGTTATGACAGTTGCCCCCTCTTTATAATATTTACTATGCAACGATATAAGAAAATTTCATTTTCTTTTAGCTTTGTGTAGTAAATTTATAAAGAAAATTAGATACAGAAAGAACTTTTTTGGTAGAGTCTTGAAAACCCCAAAAACAGTAGATTGACATATGACTTTTATAGAGAGAACAAGACATTTGGAAGACGGCCCACTTGTTTTTTTTTTTTTTTGAAATGGATCAAATTGTTTTGGGCAACCTACCCAATGATAAAAGAGACGCAAAGAATTTTGGTCACATTGTAACGGGTCACCTGCTCAGTTGGTATATTATAATGGGTTACCTACCCAGTTGGTCACATTGTAATGGGTCACCTGCCCAGTTGGTATATTGTAATGGGTTACCTACCCAGATGGTCACATTGTAATGGGTCACCTGCCCAGTTGTAATGGGTATATTGTAATGGGTTACCTACCCAGATGGTATATTGTAATGGGTTACCGACCCAGATGGTATATTAGGATTTTTTATAAGACATGATAGGGTTCGAAGGCGCATTGTTCAATAGATGGAAGCTTGGAGGAAATGAGGGCTCGAAGGCGCACTTGAAATAAGGTAGGATAGGAAATGCACTATCTTTGATGGTCGAGGGCTCGAAGGCACACTCGAATGGAGGTAGGATAGGAAATGCACTACCTTTGATGGTCGAGGGCTCGAAGGCACGCTCAAATGGAGGTAGGATAGGAAATGCACTACCTTTAATGGTCGAGGGCTCAAAGGCGCACTTGAATGGATTTCGTTAGAATTTTCTCTAATAAAAATTTACAAAACTCATTGTCCAAGGTCTCAAAGTTTAAATGATATACATGCATATTTACCTGATTTGAAATATAGGCCCCCATTTCTTCTTAATCTTCTCGTTGCTTGGTTGGTGAGATCTTGTTATCTGATTTGAGTCATCTTTGTCGTTTAGCTTTCTAGCCCACTCGAGTTGGCTCATATAAGTCTATTTCCAAATTTATTTGTATAACTCAGCATTTTTGGTGCCCATCGTGACCCACTTGCTTGCTAAAGATTTTCTGATTCATCAAATAATTTAAGAGGATTACTCATTACTCCTCGTTTCACTGCTAGAAACATTCGGTGTCACTTGCTGAAAGGATCGAGTTGTCTTTTGTAAACCAAAATGCCCCCTTGTCTGGTTAAAGGAAATTACCATCTCCTTTTCTAGAATTTTTCCTTTTAAACACAATGTTGCCCCCTTGTATTGGTTATTGCCTCTAAGTGTGCTCTCTTAGTGATTTGGATAAATAATGGTTCTAAGAGGTCATTCTCTCATATCTATCCTTTTTCTGTTTGGTGAAGGAATATGAGTCTAGAATGAATCTTGAAATCTTGATCTTGCATTTTGAAAACAAAAAATTATTTCGATGTGAGTCTAAAACAATTTGCTTTTGAAATCTTGCAACTCCTTGGTTATTTTTCTTTCTTGGAAAAGAGATTATTTGTTCTTGTGTTTGGCAATGAGGTCTTCGGTGAAAATATGCCATGATATTATGAACTTTTGTTTTTATAGGTTTTCAGAGTGGTGGGCTCGAGAAAAAGCTCGAGGTTTTGTATGAGAAGAACTTGTCTTTTTTTTTTTGCACATTTATTTTTTTATCAGCATGAATAATAATGAGTAGTTTATTCTTGATGTCATGAATCTTATGAAAAAGTATTCTTTGCATTTTGAGAGCATTGTTTATTGTTCTAGGTTGCTTGCTTGCTTGATTAGAAAGGACTTCTATAGGCACGTAACGTAGGTTGTGGTTTTTGGCTATGAAAGAAAAGGATTCATAAGGCTCAAAGAGTGTTTCAGGGCTTCAAAGACTGAGAATCACTATTAACAGTTTGACTATTGATGTCATTCATATTTTCTTTTGCCACTCTTCTTTGATTTGTTGCTTCTTTTTTTTCATTGCTTTGCTTATAGAGCATACTCACTTTATCTTGGTTATCATTTTTTCTTGTGATTTGGGCATGCCCCCTAGCATTTGAGTTTCTTGAGCTTTTTTAACTTTTGGCTTTCTCACAGCTTTATCATCTTTCTTGATAATTGAAATTTCACTTGCCCCCAGTATGGGGTGTGATCCTAGTCGGGATTTTTTTCTATGAAAGAAAAAATTGTTCAGGCTCAAAAAGGGTTTGCAAGGGATGTATTTATTTAGAACGTGAAAGGAAATAACAAAGATGGCCTTTCCTCATTTCAAGCGCAAGTAGCTATGATCAATAAACTTTGACCTCGTATGGTATAATGGTTTATTCTTTGCAAAGATGCATTTCATGAGTTATGAGCAACAAGTTCACTATATACCATTATTCATACATTTTTAAAAAACACATGATTCAAGAGTAATGGGGTAAAGGTAAACTATTCATTTTTTTTTGTTTATAATTTAGTCACCTCAATGATGGAGTTGCTTCATTCACTTGTCATTCTACAAGCAGAATGTCAAAAATATCATTTTTGAATAAACATCAAATTACTTTTCGAAATCAAAATGCTAGATCAATTTTTCAAAACTCTAATAGGGAAATTGATTTTGGTAAGAATAATGAATTGAATCTATGAGATTGTGCAAGGCTTCAAAAATGTGTTTGTGAGTCTTTACAAGAAAACTCTCTCAAGAAAATGAATAATGCTTAGTCATAAACATGATTGAATGACAAACTCATTATTTCATTGAAACTTTGGAAAAGAAGTTTAACAACAAAGAACTTATGTCAACATCTTGGGCTATGAACACTAGCATGATAACATATAAAGGGGCTAAACATTTAGCGATCATTGATTGGAATTTCTAGAATCTTTCAATCATTTATTCTTCTCGACAAGGGCATCTTTTCAACAATTAGTTGAGGCCATATGTAAGAACAGTAAGTGCCTCGGCAACCCCCTTTAATGTCTTTTTCTTTTTCAGTGAAACCGTTCTTTTTCAGTTGGATAAGCAATTTTACCTAATCCAATGGCTTGTTCAATTCCCTCAGCTATAACAACCAGGTCAGAGAAATGTTGCGCAGAGCTTCTAACCAAGTATTCAAAGTACGGAGCTTTAAAGGTGTTGGAAAATAAAGCGATCATCTCTTTTTCCAACATGGAAGGATTAACTTGTGCAGCTACCTCACTCCATATCCGGGCGTATTCCCTTATGGAATCCTTGTTGTCCTTCTCCATAGCTTGCAAGCTTAACCGATCAGGGCCCACGTCTATATTGAACTTATATTGCCTCATAAAGGCATCCACTAAATCCTTCCATTTTTTAACCTTGGTATTGTCCAATCGCATATACCAAGTGAGGGAAATGTCACTCAAGCTGTCTTGAAAGAAATGAATCAATAGTTTCTCATCATCAACTGCTTCAACCATTTTGTTGCAGTATGCTTTGAGATGAGTTATAGAGCATTGAGTTCCCGTATATTTGATAAATTCTGGCACTCTAAACTTTTTAGGAATGACAACGTTAGGCACCAAACACATCTCAGCAGCCTTTATAGGATAATATAGGTGAATTCCCTCAAATGCCCTCCTTCTTTGTTCTAAGGCAATGAATTTGTTTAGTTCATCTTCTTTCACTACCTTGTTTTTTTTTTAGATTGCTTTATTGTAAGGTCAATGATAGATGACATTCTTATGGGATATACTGGTTGAGCAAATTGGAAATACATAGCCTATTGAGACACCTCATTTGCCCCCAGATTCTGTGGATTTCCGAGCATAGGTTTAAGCTGAGCTGTAGATTTTGCTTCTTCTGGTTTAGATCTTCAAGCCTATTCAAGTAGGCTAGTAAGCTTTGTGACTTCTTCTCTAAGACTTTCCATCTCTTTTCGGTGTTGGGCTTCCAACTAGGCTTTTTGTTCGTTTTCCATTTGTTTTTTTTCGCAATCAAGTGTTATAAAAGTGTTTCGATGGGGGACCTATATTTCACCTGGAGTGCAATATTATGACAGGTCATAATTGTATGTTCAAACATGCATGAAGATGAATACAACATATTGGATATGGATTTGCCTTTTGGGGGGGTGACATAATGATCGCTATTTTTTAAATGTGTGGTCAGATTTGAATTCGATATTTATTGCAATGCCGAGAGGAGATCTGTTTAGCTTTTGGTCATCTGAGCTTTCAGCCACATTCTTGGTGTCTTTCACTAAACATCTAATATCTTTGAGTAACGGTATCTCACCGACATCCAGTCTAGAGCAGTCTCCCTCGGTCATTTGCAAGAATTCAAACTTGAGTCCATGCTCAATAATTGTTGTCTTAGGAATAGCAGTCATTATGTCACCCAAAAGCCTTGTAATAGTGATGCTTACACGTTTAAGCTTTATCTCAGTAAAGTTATGCAGGGATCAACCTAAAGGATAAGTTCTAATCATTAAATGTTTCAGGTTAATTTTGCTATCTAGTCTCAAAGGTCTTTCGCATGCTCAGTGATCACCCTCAAAAGGTTGATATGAGGTTTACAAGCAGTATGAAGATAGAGGCCCTGAGTAATATCAGTTCGGCATATCAACCACTATCGAGCAAACAATCATGCGAGAGTTGGATAGTTTCACGAGCCTTACCCAGGCTAAAGCCATTGGGGTGCCGTTACTCCTCCACTTATCTTAAAGTTGATACCACATGTAAAAAATGAGATAAGTGATGTGTGAAGACCTCAGATCCGTATCCAATATATATGCATGATAAACATGAATAACTATACATGTTAAAATAAATAAAAAAAAAGAGCAAAAAACGGTACGACAAAAAGTGTTTAGCAATAAAAAAGACAAATAGCAAAGCTTAGTCCTAAAGTCCCCAGTGGAGTCGCCATTCCGTCGCACCCGACATCGCGGCGGCCTTAAAAATAATTTAAATGGAATAGAAAGAATGGATTTCTGGCATCCTGTTCTTTGATGGTGAATGATCTTTGTTTAAGGAGTCGCCACCTAGTATTATGGTTACTAGGAACCCTAACTGGTCAACAGAGATTCTATGGTTCGAGACTGATTACGCAAAAGGGAAGATATTATCACCCCTTTTAGCGTCCTGCCTAAGGCAGGCTGCATTGCTGACTTTATCAATAATTGCTAATGTTTTGTTGGTTTATGCTATGGTGGTTTTGCGTGTAATATTCCTGACTCTGGCGTCAGTGAATATTTAACTACAGATATTTCCAACTCTGGCGTTGGTAAATATCACGTAGCTATAAAAAAATAAATTTAAATCAGTTATTTTTTTATTCCTGACTCTGGCGTCAATGAATAAACAAATCAAATAAATTTATTTTTACGCATCACACAAAAAATAAAATAAATTTAAATCAGATATTTTTTTATTCCTGACTCTGGCGTTAGTGAATAAACAAATCAAATAAATTTATTTTTACACATCACACAAAAAATAAAATAAATTTAAATCAGTTATTTTTTTATTCCTGACTCTGACGTCAGTGAATAAACAAATCAAATAAATTTATTTTTGCACATCACACACAAAAATAAGATAAATTTAAATCAATATTTTTTATTCCCGACTCTGGCGTCAGTGAATAAACCAATAAATTTATATTATTTTTATTCATGCATACATATTTTTATTTTTATATTTTTTATTTTTTATTTTATTTTAGTTTTTACCAACAGGCGTGCGTGAACTGCTCACGCACTTTGCTGGGTTAATTCTCTATTCTCGGGTCTATCCTCCCCTCCCTTTCTTTACCTTTGACATCTGTATTTATAGTGTCAGAGTCCCTTTGTGTGTGAGAAACCAAGTTTCAATCAAACTCATTCTCTTTTTTGAAGTTCGAATTCGAATCAAATTCAAAAGCAGACAACTATCATTATCTTGAGGATTATCTTGAACAAGGTAAGGATTATCTTGAAGTAGATAAGGATTATCTTGAAAAAGGTAAGAATTAGCTTGAAGGTAAGGATTATCTTGAAGAAGATAAGGATTATCTTGAGGATAAGGCTATAATGACAAAGGGACATTGTAATCCTTAATTTTTACAGAAGTTGACAAATCACACTTTTCATCGAAATAATCTCTGATTTTTTAATTTTTCATTTTAAACCCTGTAAAAATTAAATTAAAATCCAAAGGGCCAAAATTGGGTTATGACACTATATATTATCATTTATCAATAGCATTCATTTATTTTTTTAACAACCTGAATATTTTTGTGTATTAACTGAAATTATTATTTTTTAATTTTTGTAAGGTAATTATGCGATGCATTTACAACGGATTAGTTTTTTCTCGGTAGCTACCTCCTTAAATTTGAACAAGATAACATGAGAAGTTATTCATTGGAACCTAAAAATGTCCTTAAGATTAAACATCGAAATTTTCTGCTAAAAAATCAACAAATATAAACAAAATATCGATATAATTTTTTTATTGATAGATTGCAGTAAACTTCACCACAAACAATTCTTCATTATATCTATAACACTGACAAAAATATTATCTCTGTATAAACTGATGAAATTAGAATAAAAAAATAAATTAGAAAAATAAATGATATAATGACATGTTATTTATATAGATAAAATTACTGATAGAATAAACTTGTCAGTGAAATCAATTTGTAATATTATACGTAATATTTAACTTATGACTTGATAAGTAACCATCATCCTTTCCCTCCCTCTCCCCCATTTCTTCTTCTTCCTTCATATTTTTCTGCAAATAACAACAAATCATCCTTTATTTTATCACAAATCAAACTTTCATTACCACAAATCCGGTCACCCCAACACTCAGTTTGTCAACATCTTTGTTCTAATTCATTTTTTTAGAATTTTCCACATCAAACAAGTAAAACTACTCATGTCTTGTTTAAACTCAATTTTAAAATGTTAATTTTTATTGTATATTTTTGTAGCATATTTAATTTGTTTGTGTATTTACTTGTTTTATAGCTTTTTTCTATAGAAATTTGTTGTGTGAATTCGTGATGAAACTCTTCTGCCTGGGATACTAAAAGATTGACATGTTTCTAAATTTATGCATGTAGTAATACCTTAAATATGTAGAGTTGATCGAGTACAGAACATGTAGGAATACTTGCTATAAACCCATAATTAAAAGTGGAAAAACTCGTCACATATATAAAACTTAAATATTTTTTAATCAATCCCAGACTGCAAAAGTTATTAATGTCTCTAAAGAATGTTGATCACTGACATCATTCACTTGATGTTGTTGATAGAGTCATGGTGCATATATCCTATGGTAAAGCTTGAAAACATTTTAATATAGTCCATACTTTATTTTCAATGGAATCAAGGAATGTTTGTTTTAGGTTATGTATAGATAGATTCAATCTATTCAAGTCATTTGCACTCTTTATTCTTGCTAAATACTCATGATTTATAACTTTCCACTGAGAATGTTTTTATTTCCGGTCATACTTGGTTCTAATAGTCCGAGTTAAAATATAGATATTTGTCTTTAACTATTGATTAATGAGTTGAAGCAATTATGGTCATATGTAACTCTGACTTATCATATTTCGAATAAACAAAATTTTTAACTAAAGACAGCTGTGATGTGAACTATTAATGATTTTCCAGCGTATAAAATGGTTTCTGATTAAAGCACACATGAAAAACTAGTATGTTCATACTGTATGGAAAATAACAAGGTCTTTTTAGAAAATGGTGGCAAAATATCTTTTTCTAATTACCACTAGCAGTTCATATTAATAGATTACAAGTACAAAAAGCATTTTTTGTGTTGGTAAAGTCGAAAAGGATGTTGCATTGCCGATACTATTGAGTAAATAATTGGATGACATGGTCTTGTAGTATGATAATATTGTGTTTGGTTTTCAATCTGATAAGCAAAATTTTTTTGATTTTGGGGTGATTCACAATTGGGTAAAATAAAGTATTTTTTTTAGAGCTTCCTTAATAGATGACCAATCTATCCCGTGATAAACTTGATGTCATACACATTAAAAAGAACATGCTTGAAAACATTAACACGACTATAAATATGAAAGGAAAGACAAATGATAACATGAAAGCTAGAATGAATATACATTCTCCACTCATAAATACATACAAAATTACTGATAAAATAACTCCATCAAAAAATTTCAAAGAGTTGGAAAAAAACTCCACTCCCATACCACTAAGAATCACTAATAGAATAGCTCCATCATAAAAATTTGAAGAGTTGAAAAAAAATTACTCTTCCATGTAATTGAAAATCACATATAGAATCACTGACGGACTGAAATTGTGTTAGTGATATTTTGGGGGTTCTAAAAATTTTCAATTTAATTGAAATTTTAATTTTTAATCATATACAAAATTTAGGATAAAATTCAAAAATTAATAAAAAATTTTATTTTCTATTTGTGATTCTGTAAG